AAGATGTAGAACAAGTGACAAATAGTAACCCTTTTCTTTCATAACTGAATTGCATCATGTAAAAGGAAGTTTACTGTGTGTTCAGAGTCTAAACTGTTTACTTTCAGCTTGTTGTACAACCCAAGTTATCGGGTTCCATCTTAGAATTTTTGGAACGAACAAAAGCTTGTGTTTCTTCTTGAAAATCAAGAGATACATGAATTGTAAGATTTTGTGATGTAATACTGCCCGACTTGAGATTGAAAATAAATTTGCAGAATAGAAATACGGTACTCTTTTTATCATGGATGTTTATATCTTGGGAGGCGCCATGAAGGTTTGTTGTTATTGTTAACTAAAGGGTTTATAATTAGACTCAGATTAGGATCATGTTTCTTTGGCATTTCATTGTAAGAATGTCACTCTTTGTCATTAAAAAATGTAAAATAAATTTTCAGGGCTGTAGTGCTGCAGATTGTCTTCAACCCTTTTAAAGTTATTTGCAAGCTAATATCAGTCGCATCTACACTCCCATGATAGTCAATACTTGGTTTGTTCTATTTTTAAAGTCCTAGTTTGGTACCACTTGATATGGAATGAGGCTAAAGAAAATATCCAGATGACAAAAATATCTGCCGATTGATTTTGCTTTAATACTACTTTTTTTTAAACTGAACATGATACATAAACCACCATCTCCAGTTTGGCTTTCAGTTCATAGCTTTCAAATATAAATAGATTTCAATTTACTCTGTTTACAAAAAACTTCCTCCCTCTTTGACATTTCAATTCTTGAGAGCCAGAAGGGTGTTAACTCTATGCTTCAGTATACAAGTTAATGCCCTTTTGGATCTCAACTGGTAAGGATAATATCATTGTCGTATTAAAGTCTGTAGGAGGAAAAGATGGTTAACCACTAGAGTCTAATCCAGGAAATAGGATTGCTACCGTTACCAATTCCGGAATTGGATTTCCTTTCTGGGATATTGACACATTTATATATATCTGTTTATTTTTATTTGATCAGTTGGCCTGAAGCAATTTTAAATACTCTGCATTATTTGCAGGTTCTGTTTTTATTTTTTGTTATTTGTTTTTGGTCATGTAGGCTTGGTTTCTCAAAAACGGGGCATTGTCATTTTATTCTTCTTCTTCTTTTGCAAATATACTACAAACAGGTTAGCATGCTCGATAAACAACATACATGTACATGTACATATATAGCTATAGTGAGAAGGATCGTGTAGGGTTAAGAGTAGACAACAAAAATATGTGGAACCAAGATATTACTTGGCAAGCTTACCTAGTAATATTTTGTCCAACATATTTTTCATTTCTCTTGAGCTGTATTGGAATTCAGTCATGTACACAGTACATCTAAACTTTCTGGTGTTATTGTATTCAAATGACTTGGATATGAACCTCTCTCATCATGTCTGGAATGTAGGCTAGAATCTTCAAGATAATTTTTTTTTTTTTTTTTTTTAAACTTTGTTTGTCTGGTGACCTTGTGTCAAGCAAGCAAGAATTAAATCCCTCTATTTTGAGACCAAGCAATACGACTTAATCGAATTACAGACATTTTTTCCCCGCCTCTCCCGACTTCCAAAAGGAGACAGAGACCCGCTATGATTGTGCACTTCTTCTCCTTCAAGACCAATTTCCATCTCCGAGTCTGATGGGAATTATGAATGATCGCCATCTACAATTATCTCGCCTCGACCACACCGCGGAGCCGAGGACGAAAGCTTTCAGAGTAATCAGGCGCAAATTGCATGTCTAATTGCTTTGTCTCCGACAAATAGGTGCTAATTTTGACAAGTTTTCGGTCAGGTCGAGGGAAGTCGTTGATTCCTCCCTCTCTCAACTCTGAAGGAGATAGGACGTGGCTATAAATACAGCATCTGCCGAGGACGATCACGATCGACGGTGGCAAATCAGACGTATCTCGCAGTGAGATTTCTCTTAAAGTCTCAGGCTGTCTGCGGAGATTACAGAGAAGGAAATGATTGCACATATTGGAGTGGATTTGGGGATATATATGGTAGCGTGAATCACATCACGGCTCAGTTTATCTTTCGCATTCTCGTCTTATTCTCGGGCTATTTTTGCTGATCTGTAATTGGACGTGTCTGGTAGCACATTGACCTCTTCCTAATCATATTCCATATATGGATGTAGTCTCTCTCTCTCTCTTTCAGACTAGGATTAGTATCATAATGATATTTAAATGGTATGTCTTTTTGGCATCAGGGTCATTTGTTTCGAGGGCAGTCACTCTTGAAATAAAGGAAGAAATTAGTTCAGTGTCATGATCGCATAAAGAATAATTATTTTCTCTCTCCTTTTGTAACTCATAATTTGATTTGGACAACTTTTTTTTTCCATCATAATTTGATTTTGGAAAACATGTTGATTTTTAGAGCTTTTAGCACACTATCAGGAGAGGCCTATTATACTGCATGTAAATTCCTTGATGTTTAAATCATGGCAGATAATAATAATAATAATAGCTCACATTTATAATGCGCCTAATACCTTGTTTCTAGGCGCGGAACATATTATTACCCGGTCATCGGATTCAGGCTTACCCGCACACAATGTATGCACATTCTCCACTCCCTGGGGAGTATTCCAGCCAGTCGCCATTTTACAAGTGCCATTGCTAATCAAACCACATTAGCTTTCGCATCCTACCGGGTACCCATTTAACACCTGGGTGGAGAGTGGCAAATGTAGATCAATGTCTTGCCACAGGACATTAGTGCCGCGACAGGACTTGAACCGCGGACCTTGTGATCCACAGTCCGGTGACATATCCACTCGACCACGACACCTGATGAAGACGAAAAGGGCCTAGATGCAGGGAGTGTATAAATCAAAGGGATACTGGCAACTTGATGTGATAAGACAATACTCATGCTCAACATGTAGTTGGACATTAATTAGTTTTTGTTTTTTATATTGTCTGTTTGAAGCGAGTAGGGCATTAACTCTGTGTAAACTAATATGAGTCAACATGTCTCCAAACAGGCAATATTGAATATACACCTATTTAGTTATGATAGAATTAAGCATGAATTGTAATAAAATGTCTAAATGTATGGCAAAATTGAAATACTTGCATATTATTCTATTTTGGGTATATACTGTATGCCTTGAAGATGAAAGCTTTCGTCTAAAAACCCTGACCTAAAGCTTACAGGCATGTCTTAGAAAGGTTTGTGAACCAAATCTCATTAAAACTTTACCAGGTAATACACCACATAAATACCTTTATGATGTACAACAAAATATTAATCCCTTGTCAGACAATGATTTAAGCCATCCTAGTGAAATCGTTCAACAATTTATACAGCATTGTTTATTTACATTCCATAAAAGCTATCACCTCATCTCTCAGAAACACCATTGACTTTAATGGGTTTGAAGAGTGGGAGACAAATCCCAAATGGATAGAGAGATACTATATTTCAAGCCTATCCCAGGGTTATGTATTATGGGATGCTAACTGACTTCTTCAAACTATTGTCTTTTATAAATTGTTTCTCTATTTGATAATGTTATCCACATATCCCTTTCACTAGTATACATCGATTCTTTATTTAACGTTTTTATATACGATGTTAGTTTGTAGTTGTAGTTGTATGCCCTTTTCGCTATACAATGATTTTTATTTTTATATAACAACGTTTTAAAATTGTATACAACATGTTGGTACGTATGTTATGTGTATGCCCCTTTCGCTATACAATCATTCTTAAAAGGACTCGGTAACATTGCCTCAAATTCTGAACCAAAATCCTGGATTTAATTAGCTCATACTGCAATCATAATTACTTACAGTGTATAAACCTTTAGGTCAGTCAGGAATCCCAAGACTTTTACAAGCCGATCTTGATCCTGTCTGATTATCAAGATATTTATGATTGGAAATCGAAGTTTCATATTTCATTTTTCATAACACGAGGAACAGTCTATTGGGGAAAATGAGTATAGTAAAACTGGTCGATCAAAGATTTTTACTTTTTTAAGGTACTTCATTTTGAAGCGCAGTTTTGTTAGGGCTTTAATATTACACCATATCACAGACACTAATAACACATAATGTACATGTAGGGCTATGCATCTCAGATTTAACATTGTTAAACGATGCCTTTAAGCTATGTTTCTATATATTTGAGTTTCATACTGTACATGAAATGTACATATTTCCTCGTGTCTGAGCGGCCTAATAAATTGGCCCGCTGAAAAGTAGAAGCAGATGATGCACTTGACTGGCAACTATTTGCCTCCAGGGGCATTCTTCAAATACAGGCAGCCCATGCGTGAAATAGCTGTGCCTTAATAATTCAAAAACTATTGTTTTGTTGTGGTTTGGGCTGTTATCGTGTTACCCTGCCTACTTACATTGTAAACTTGTCAAATTTGGCCATTCAGGTTTTGGCAGCACAATATTTCATTCATTAACACAATATGTCCATTGATCCATTCTGTGCAGTATTTTATGGTTGATTGAAATTGAGAGCACTCATTAAACCTGTGTTTAGATGCAATAAAAGTTTTTCTATACTTCATATTTTCTTCTTTAATAATACATGTACATTCATTAGGTTTTTAGCAAAATTGGTATTTTGTTTAATGGCATGCTTCTGTCCGAGAGTTTTGTAGAACTAGATGTGGAACAGATTCTGTTGTACATAAGAGCACCATTGTTTTTAAATATGATAGGAAGTATAAAAGCATCAAGATGATAAAGAGTAAAAACAAACTTAAGTATAGTTAGTACAATGTTTTCATTTTTGAATGTTTTTTATGTTGTAATTACCCAAGGCAAGTATTTTAATCTTGCATGGGAGATAAAACTTGTATCTCTTTGATCTCACGATTATTTAAGTGAAATCTGAATTGTTTCTTTCTTATTTCTTACTGTATCCACAATGTACATGTACATGTACCTGTATTTCACTTTATGAATAATTTCATGTTTTTCTGCATTTTTTATCTCTTTTAATCTGTAGTAAGTGGTCATACGAAGACGAGAAGAGTTGAGCTCCAAAAACTGAGACAACGGGAAGCAAGGGAAGAAGTTCGAGCGCAAAAATACTGTGACCTTTACAGGGCAAGAAGCAGAAACGCTGATATAGTCACTCAGGTATGAACAGGTCCATTCATAATTTCACAATGGTGTCATTCACACTTATGATACATAAGGCCTGTCTTCACTATCTCGAGATTGCCAAATATCCAGCTATTTGAACTATCCTGATCGCAAACTATCCAGCTAATTTGCGTCTTCATCAGACCGAAGTAGCAATTAGAAGGATATTTGGTCAGGATTGTCATCCCAAGATATCTTGGGATAGTTTGCAAAATATCCCACTATTTGGCAAAATATCCAGCTATTTGTCCCATGCGTCTTCCCTCGACCAAAGATTCGCTGAGCAAAATATCTTGAGCTAATTTCTCAAGGTCGAGTTTCAAGTTTCGAAGTCGAATCTCGAGATAGTGAAGACGCGATTTGTTACTTGGGGATTATTTCCCAAATCAGAAATAGCTGGCTATTTGGCAATCTCAAGATGATGAAGACGCGCCTATAGTGTACAGTATGTGAAAACATACATATTGGGAGAACGTTATAGTAGATCATTCTATGTCCTACGTATGAAAAGGGCCATTCATTTCACGATGGTGTCTTTCACACTCATGAGACATAGTGTAGAGTAGTATGCTTAACCTGACATATTGGGGAATTTTAGTAGATTATCCTATCCTATGCATGATCAAGGCCATTAATTTCACAATGGTGTCACACTCACAAACATATGCACACTTGTTGAATAAGAAACATAGGGGCATTAGTGTTAATTTCCATGGGGAGGGCGGAGGGGTCGATGAGTGAAGGAGATTTACGAAATGGTGTCCTCGGTCAAGCTTGTTATAAATTATGAGATAAATTGACCATTAAAGTATGTTGTAAATGCTGATCAATATGCTTGCAGTAGACACCAATGTACATGTACCTGTCTGTGGAAGGTGGGGTAAGAATAGGCCTGTCCTCATCAGCTCGAGATTGCCAAATAGCCCGCTATTTCTGATTTGGGAAATAATCCTGAAGTTACAAATCACGTCTTGACCTCGAAACTAGAAACTTGAGCTCAAGAAATTAGCACAAGATATTTTGCTCAGCGTTCTCCCGTAGTCCGAGTCTTTGGGCTTGCATGAAGCTCAACAGACAAATAGCCCAAGATATCTTGGGATGATTATCTCGACCAAATATCCCTCTAAGTGCAACTTCGGGCTGATGAAGATGCAAATTAACTGGATAATTTGCTATCGGAATATTTCAAATAGCGGGGTATTTGGCAATCTCAAGCTGATAAGGACAGGTCTTATGAGGCAGTGACTGTGTCTCATGTGAAAACTGCTTGACAAAGAATGAGAGACAACCACTCTTTTGCAAACAATGGCCAATTTGAAGAGTCATTTTGTCCCGGAGGAAAAGAGAGCATCGGAAAGCCACCGACCTGACCTGAGTCACCTTGCCCAAATCAAGCCGGATTCTTGCGTGAGCTGTAGGCCGGTAAATCCCCACAGTGATGCAGATGTGGGGATGAGTATGCAGAAAAGCCGATGTGATTTGAGCTGTTTTACCTTCACCTCATCGGCAGGATAAAGATAAACCTTGCACTGTCTGAGGCTTTGCTGATAGGGGCATTGAGTGAGGGGGACATTGGGTCGTTGTTCGATGACCTGACAATTAATCCAGGCTTTATTTCATCAAAGATATATGCAGGGAAAAAAATACTTAAACAATTTCTTTGGCTACTTTTCAAGCTTGCTTGCATGAAAATAACACTTTAATTTGTTTTGCATTGAACTCTATGCAAATTTTGGGGGCTCTTTTATGACTTTCGGGGGCGCTTGGGGTTGCAAATGGGTTTTAGATGTAGGGTTAGGGTTTTGTTTACGATAGTGCAAGTCACAGGGTTAAATTTAGCGAATTGATTAGCTATCTATACCTAACTGCGATTCATTGTGAGATAAAAGATGAACCCTTGCACTGTCATTATAGGATGAACTCCCCTTTATATAGATTGATTGAGTGAGTGGGACATTTGGTTGTTGATTTATGACCTGACTTTTGATCTGGGCTTTAATTTGTCAAAGATATAGGTTTGGGGTTTGCGATCAGGTTATAGGTTAGATGTAGGATTAGGGGTTTGTGTATTGTAAGTCTCTAAAGTTAGGAATTTGGTTTATACCTAGTTACCTACTTAATACCTTCAGCTCACCATAACATCAAGATCAATCTTGCACTGTCTGTTGATAATAAGCTTGTACTAATAGATGGATCGAGTTAGTGGGACATTGGGTCGTTCTTCTGTGACTTCACATTTTCTCTGGGCTTTTTAACAAAGATGCATGTAGGTCTATTAAACAAGGTTAGTGTTGCAATCAGGAGTTTAGGTTAGATTTAAAGTTACGGTGAGCTATTTTGTCTGTTCCGAGGTTGAATTTTAGGAATTTGTTTTGTATAGGAAATCCACCATGGAGCAATTTTTGGCATTGCATTCGTTGTGGAACCAGATGCTTTTAATAGCTATTGTCAAGCAATTGTAAGAAATTTGAAATCATCTCAAAGTTGTTCTTGTTGATTTGTTTTTAAAAGGTCTTGTCAAGCAATTGTTAGATTGTGGGGATCCTAGCACAAGACCCCTAACATACACTGATAGAAAGCAAACTAAATTACGTCTGGTTCCTTCTCTATTGGAGCAGGCCATGTTGTATTAATTGATGTATGAAAACACAATATTTCAAGATATTTTAGTATAGAATACCTCTATGGATTCACTAAAAAACGTCTTTAAAATGAATCCTTCTGAGGTAGATCATGCCTATTAATACAGATGCCTTCTGTTTGCCTTGTTACTCATTAGGTAGCTCAAAAGAAAGCTTCCAGTGAAACAAGATATATATTTAGTTTGTAAACCTGGATATCTCCGCTGGATTGCTGTGTCTTAGAAGATGATGCAAGGATGGAAACTGTTAGATAAGATAATCTTTAAGAGCTCGGAGATCTTCCTGAATAGCAGGGATTGCAGCAGGCTGGGAATAGCTTTGTTTTATTAAACCGAGACTACATGTATGACTCATCTCTTTCGCTTTACACGTCATCGGGAATAAAGGATGTAGTTTACTGTTTCGGAAAGGAACCCCTTTAGTTTTAAAGTCATGGATGCTGTTGATGGTTCTACAAATATGCACCGTCTTGAGAGACCCTTGTGAAATGTTTAAGGTCGAGGTGACTCTAGTTCTGTTTCCTTAGGGATGCATCCCTCCCCCACCCCCAAAGAAAATGGACTTCTGTGGTGGCTGAGACCCATTACATTAAACTGATATTTGAAAGCTTTTGCCAAGATTGATAAACTTGCAAACACCAGTTTCAGATTTCAGGCTGTGCAAGCTTGTGTGAGCTCACTATAGATCAACAAAATTCATTAGGCCATTATACCCATTCTGAGCAAACTTTCTACATGTACATGTAGATGTAGGCCTATTCCTTTTACATAGCATACCCTTGAACCTTTCCTTTTACTGCATTTTGTATAAAAAAAATCATGGTTGAATTACAAAATGTGTGTACCGGTATGAACATGTGTGTACGGTTGGTTGGCTGTTGGCTTCCCTATGCAAACAACAACAACAGGGTGTTGTGAGCACGATTTTAATTTGACAGAAAGGTTTACGACAGGCATCTGGCTTCTATCCTATTTTTCTTAGTCATTAAACAACCCTGAATTACTATCCAGGGTAACCAATTAAAAGATCGCATGATGACCTCTTGGTGGCGCTTTACACTGTCAATTCTCGTTGCAGCACTATGAGATTCATGACGGTATCCATACTAAAACTTTTTGAGTTCCCCACATAAAAATCCTTTCGTAAGGTGGAATGAAAAATGATAATTGAAACCTTCAAATAGTTCGGTCTGAACTATTTACATAAATCATGTATGTATTTGATAATGAGCAGAAACAAATTGCCTTGCTTATCAATTTTGGTTTGTTTTGTTTAAAATCATAGTATCTTTTTGATATGTTTTTCCAACTGGACATTGAAAAACAATGAAATTCACTGATTTATTTTGATTAATCATAATTTTGGAAGAAAAGGGGTCTGGACGTTTTGTCATGCTACACTTAATATAACAATAAAGTATCGAAATAGCTTTTTTTCTTCACGTTCTTGATTATTCAGATGATTTTTCACCATTGATTTTATTTACACAGAATGGTCATTTAGACTTTGTCAGAGAGTTGCTTTTTCACATGAGCAGGAATTGTGAAGGAGTGGGCCTCTTTAACTATCTCATAATACATTATAGGAGGGTGGGGTTAGCGGAGGGAGAAAGTGTGAGCTTTTTTCACGTTCTTGATTATTCAGATGATATTTCACCATTGATTTTATTTACATGTGAAAGGTCATGTAGATTTTGTCAGAGAGTTTCTATTTCACATGAGCAGTAATTGTGAAGGAATGGGCCTCTTTAACTATCTCATAATACATTATTGGAGGGTGGAGTTAGCGGTGGGAGAAAGTGTGAGTCATTCAGAAACATATAATCCTTGGCACCCATTGGAACTTGTATCTTGTTATTTCAGACGATCCTTGTGGTCTTGATTTTGCCTTCAGTATTCTGCATAATCAGGTTGTGAAATGCGTAAGGATATGTGTCGTTTTCGCAGTATCTGTAACATCATATCCTTTTGGCTGTTCGAATTATATATTTGCTGAAAGACAAAAGCTGAAGAAGTATATCTGTTTGCCGCATCGTCGCTTGGGAGCAAGAAGGTGAAATGGTTTGACTCAATGACTTAAAGCCCCACTGTCCTACTTGTAGCTACATGTACTTGCTCCCTCTATATAGAAAACTTCCCCAATTAGTGCCTGTTCGTCCCCCATGATCCTCTTTTTCTTATGTTAGTTGAGAGCTGAGTTAATGAGATAGCCACCTGTCAGTGACCTCGCTGTATGGTCTAATCCCTTCTGGCCAAGTAGTATTGACGATCTTTAAAAGGATTGGGGTATCTTTGCCTCAGATTCTAAACAAAATCCTTGATTTAGCTCATGCTGCAATCATGATTATACACCTTTCAGTTCAGTCAGGAATCCTGTGACATTTAAAAGCCGGATCGCCTGTCTGATTATCAAGATATTTATGATGGGAATTAGAATTGTTAATGTGTGCCAACCATACAGGGTGGGTGGAGGGAGGGGGAAGGGAATTAAGAGAAAAGGGGATAAGTTTAAAGGTAAAGACCAGTATTGGCAACGCCCCAATTTCAAAAAATGAAATGGAAGCTCTCATTACCAATCATGTGAAAGAATATGTTTTGACTAATACATGATGATAAAAAATTTGCCGGGAAACCGCCTACTAATTCATATATTTGGTAAATTTATTTCTCTCATGGTCTGGTGAGAGAGATAGGGTAGTCCCATATACATCTTTCTTCGTATAGTGCTTGTAACTTTACGAAGAATGAGCCAAATTTCTTATCATTTTGATGATTCCAGAACCTTGCAGATGCTAGATGCTAGATGATCGACCTTTTCTGATCGATTCCACAACGTTTCTTTCACAATGCAATCGCATGACCATTACTGGTCTTTACCTTTAATAAGAGGGAGCAAAGAAAATGAGGGGCAAAGGGGTGAGGGGTGGTTGAAAATGAGATGATGTATGAATTGTGAGAGAAAGAGAAAGAGAGAAGTTATAGGAGAGAAAAGAAGAGAAAGAGAGAGAAGGGGTCAAAAATGAGATGGAATAAAGAGAGAGAGAAGCAGATAAAAGGAGAGGGAGAGAGGTAGGACAAGCAGGGTAATAGTTTTGTAGTAGGTCCATGGTTAGAGGGAGCTGAAATTTAGAATTCATATCACACAGATTAAAGCTGGAGGCTTGTTTTCAAGGACCGCAGCTGAAGTGTGTAAATCCCGAATATGATCTCCATAAGATGATTACTTCCCCCCACTAACGTATGATCAGCTGAGCAGTTAGCTCAGATCATCAAAGGGATTGGGAGTAAAGAGGGCAATTTTCAGATTAGACTTTCAGAGAGGGTGTAAGCAAAACGCATGAAGGAAATTGATGGTGAATCTGTCAGAAACATACTGATAGTAATAGCAGACACTTTAAAAATTCACTTTAAAGGAATGTTCAGTGAGTTTTTAGAAGAAAATTAATATTTTGATGTCAACTTTTCAGAGATACATGTACATAAGTTGATGCGTGTTGCGCAAACTGACGTATCTCCTCTACATTGTATGTGTGTATGTATGGACTTTGGAGCACCTTCAATCTTGATGATTAATTTTCAAATTTCTATTGTGAATGAATGATATGTGTAAACATTTTACAGTCCATGTGCCTGAGCATTGAGAATTAACTGAACAAAATTATTCTCTCTTTCTCTCTGTCTCTTTCTCCTCCCTCCCTCCCTCTCTCCCTCGTTCCCCCTCTCATTCCTTTCCTCTTTCCCTCCTCCCTTCACTCCTACATTGTACCTACCCTCTCTTCTCCCCCTCCCTTCTCCGCTCCCTTCTCCCTCCCCTCCCCTCCCCTTTCCCTCTCTTCTCCCCTCCCCTTTTCCCTCCTCTCCCTCTCTCCATCTCCCTTTCTCATTCTCTCCCACCATCCCTCTCTCCCCTTCTCTTTCTTTGTTCCCTAAATCTGCCCCCCCCCCCCCTCTTTCCTTCCTTTCCCCCACCACAGAGCTATCTACAGAGTATCCATGATCACCTCTCCCCTGAGATGCAGCGTATAGCTTCCATCCAACACATCCCATCGGAGCCCGCCATCCCCTTCAGCGACTCGTCCGACATCAACACGGATACCATGACGACCCTCCAAACCACCATGGATGAAATCCCTTCCAAGACTATAGACTCCATGGAGGGAATGACCATTGTTCAGGAGGGGGAGATTGTAGAGGTATAACGAGAAATGTCCATCCCTTTAGCTAGTTTTTGATGATCATCCTCTCATCCCCTTCTCACAATCCATCCATCACGATCGTTGCTATGACAACCCTTCAAACTAGCATGGGAGAGATGCCTTCCAAGACAATAGACCCCATCGAGGGGATGACTAAGGTTGAGGTGGGGGAGATTGTGGAAGAATAATGAGAAAGTCCCATCCTATAGGCTGTGTACTTAGTATCCATGATGACACTCTCGGCCCCTTCTTGCAATCCATCATCGTCATCGTTGCTATGGCAACCCTTCCAACCGGCAACGTTGACATCTCTTCTTGACCCCTCCGAGGGTCTGACTCAGGTGGAGGAAGGGAGGGGAGATGGTGGAAGTGAAACAAGAAATCCTGATTGATTAACGAAGAGCGATGGTTTCATTTTAAAAAGTTTTCCCTAAGGGAATGGAGTCCAGTATAACCTACGTGACATCATGTGGGAAATAACGAAAGAGAACATCGGGAGATGCAATGGACGACATCTTCTGGTAACGTGGTGCTTTGGATTCATGGAGACAATCGTGCTGGATTTCAAGATTTTCAAATGCTCTTCATCAACATCCAACATAGCAAGTCTTCGCGGGGGGTCGCACTCAGAGCGAAAATTTCCGCATAGCGTCCAAACCGATGACGGTATTCAGCTGTATTAGCATCGGTAGTCGAGCTAGTACAGGGTGGCGAGCTCATTTAAATACCCCGTAGTCAGCACTTGCGTCGCCGTGTGAAAACTCCCTATCGATGGCGGTGGAGGTCGTTGGTGCCAAGTCCCAAGTTCACTTCAGCGGCAGAGCAATTCAATGGGGTGATCGTGACAGACGTGAATGTCATTGATAAGGAGGTTTAAATGCCATGACGGAGATCATTCAACCAATGATAAGCTTAATTATGATATAAACCTCCATATACCAACCTTGTGTACTTAAGACAAGCAAAGAAATATGATTGATCAGACAGCACATGGAGTGTAAATTCACATTAAATAGAAACATTTTATACAGGGGTGTTACTGTGCAGGATGTGAATGTGGTTGTGAGTTTGAGTGTTAAATACAGTTTGCTATAAATGATTACATCGTCTGTTCAGAGCGAGAAGGGCATTAACCCTGTATTAAAGTATATGGTATAACGCCCTTCTGGCTCCAAACAGATGACATACTGTGTGTCACAACATGAGGCTGGCATCTCATGTAAAGATACAAACTGTATATAGTTTAATAAAACATTCAATGTTAAATTTGGGAGTGCTATACACAAGAAAAAAAGTACTTTCAACTTCACGGTGCAAATATGTAAAAAGAAAAGCATGCATTTCGTTTCTTCACGATGTTCTATTGTTTTCTAAAAAAATGAAATCTTAAATTTTAGCAAGGTCCACTAAAACTAATTAGTGAAAAGTCTGCTAAGGGCACATTGAGTTGTAAATATTTTTGCTGTTCACATGCTGAAAAATGAGGTGTATTTTCTGTATTTTCATTTGAATTTGTGGAGACTTTTTCACTACAGACAATTAGTTACATGGTTTTAGAAACAAAGCTTTACACTACAAAGTATTCAATGTCCGCTTGCACTTAGAAGTACAAGTATTCAGTTGCCTTAGATATTTGAAAGCTGAAAATCTGTCCATTATTTTGTGATGTGTGATAACGCTTTTAATTTTGCATACCGGTAAGTGGGATGAAAAACATTGTGAATCGAAGAGATGATATTAAACAGATCAGTTCCACTAATTTATGAGAGAAATTATCATCTTGCGCTGAAATGTCGTAGCTGCCTTAGAATAGCTGTATTCAGATCTTTGTGGAAAAGAAGAAATATATGTAACATCTTGATTTATTTTAGCTAGAAATTACTACAAAAGCCTGCCTAGTGAAGTGATTTTGTATTGCAATGTGAAAATGTTCAGGTACGATTTCTGCCAGATTAACTATTACGCATTATATTTTATCAAAGACAAATCTATTTGTGTGACACAAGAATTCCCACAAATCGTATTGTTTAAAGTGACGATTGTGTTGTTTAAAGTGATTGTTATTGAATGCTTTTAGCTTGTGAGCTAATATTGAAATATGACTTTGTTTGAGCCGTGCAATGACTAGTATTCTTCTCTTTCTGTTTTTTTTATCAATGTGGTATATAATTGATATAGTAGCACTCACACATACATGTAAGTCATGTATGCTTATCATATTATATTCACAAAGTTATCATATTGGTTTAGCTCGTATTGGCGTTGAAAATGTTCAACTGCCATAGCTTTATGTTGTATTCTTATTACCGTATGCCGTTTGTTACCGTTTTGTCGTGAAGTCTTGTTTTGATTTATTTGGTATTTTTGTTTTTATTCGGTATGCCTCCTCACAAGTGCACTTTTACTTAACCTGGAATCCGGACCACGATTTCAATTTAGCGCCGATCGTTTATAGGATAGAGTAGACTTTAGACTTCTATGCATCCAGGTTGAAACTGTATTGTCTGTTTTTTTTACATGTATTTGTTGTATTGCCCAGAATACTATTAGGGTTCCGTAACACGCAGATCCCTAAAATGCTAACTCCAGGCCCCAAACCTTTTCAATGTCAATGGGCCTTATGCGCACAGAGCACAAATACTTACTCGAGAAAAAAGGTTATTGTGGAGCACTGGGAATTTACTAGACGTAAAAGCACTAGACGTAAAAGCACTTGATTTCTTTTTTAGAGCAGGCGTAGAAAAATATAATTTTCAGACTTGGATGACAGTTAAATAGCTTTAAGTTTGTAGCAAACAATATTCTATTCTGAATGTATTTCAAGAGACCAGAAATTAATTTTCACATTTTTACATGTTGATGGCTAATCCAGGTTAATGTTAACAATTATGAACCAAGTGTATGAACACAACATCATTGCTAAATCTAGGGTAGACGAAAAAAGATTGATTCAGGAACATTGTTTTCCTATAATGAACTGCAACAGAAAGCAAACAAGCAAAGACCTAACACATGTGGGTGTGTCGCATTGAAATAATTGATACTTCTAATGTTAGACAGTGTCTAAAAGACTAAATGAAGGGCTGATATTTTTGTATTTTTTTGTATGCATTTTTTTATAACATTTCCTTTAGTTTTCTTGCCATCATCTAAAACTAAATATTTGTAAAAGTTTCCTGCTCTAAATCCTACATTTATCTTCAAAATTGTTGGTTATCTCTGGCAGTTGGATTGGATAGCTTCCACATTAAGAAATAGCTTTTTTTTAATGTATTTCTCATTTATCATTCATGTAATAATATTCTTGTATCACTATACCATTAAAGGTATAGACCAGTTTTGGAAACGCCCCCCTCTCAAGAAATGAAATGGAAGCTCTTATTACCAATCATGTGAAAGAAAATTTTTTGTCTAATAGGTGATGATACAAATTTTGCTGGGAAACCACCTACTAATTGATATATTTGGTAAATAATCATATCAATCCGGCCTGGGTAGATATCGCAAATGCACTTCAACATTGAACATTTGGGCATGTATTTCTGCTTTTTTGCGAATTAAGATTGAAGTATTGCCATCTAAATCTCTGAAGGCAATATTTAAACATTATTGAATGGATATTGAAGTTGAACCGCAATTTCACCACTACCGATCTTTATCTTTAATCCATGGTTAGAACAAGAGATTTTTAATTTTTTGGTGAAATAGATGCAACACCCGGCAAATAATTGCCCTACTTTGTATCTGAAGGAAGATGGGCTGTCTACATTCATGAGGAAGGTTCCTAACCTTTACATTATAATCACTTGATCACATTGTGCCTGGCTGTATGAGCGCATCCATCGGATGAGGGTTCAATCTTACCGTCCTTCGGGGCAACGGTTGGGTCTGGGACCGGCGGCTTACTTCCTTCTTCTCATATGACACAACGTGAATCACGCCCATGCACAGAGAGAGAGAGGGAAGGCCTGTCCTCATCAGCTCCAGTTTGCCAAATAACCCGCTACTTTAACTATCCCGATCGCAAATTATCCAGCTAATTTGCGTCTTCATCAACCTGCAGTTGCAATTAGCGCGATATTTGGTCAAGATAATCATCCCAAGATATCTTGGGCTAGTTTGCAAAATATTTGTCCAGTGCGTCTTCACCAGCCCAAAGACTCGCACTATGCGAGAACGCTGAGCAAAATATCTGGAGCTAATTTCTCGAACTTGAGTTTCGAATTTCGAGGTCGAGTCTCGAGCTGCTGAAGACGCGATTCGTAACTTCTGGCTTATTTCCCAAATCAGAAATAGCTGGCTATTTGGCAATCTCGAGCTGATGAAGACATACCTAGAGAGAGAGAGAGAGAGAGGGGGGAGGGGGGGGGTGGACGTCTTGAGAGGTATTGGCTGCAGACTCATGCTACCGTCTGTGACATTTCAAGATAAATGTGTTCATGAACTTAGCATGGCTTTGTACACGTAGGCCTACCTACATGGTTTCAGGTAACCTCAAAGAGAAGGGGTAGTCTGAAAAGGTCTTTCTGCTCAAGACTCGGCTCAAATTTGTCAACTGCCCAAAGTAAATCAGACAGTTCTCCATCAAGTACACAAGCCTATGTTTAAAACGGATGTTTCGCAAAAAACATGACACATGTATTTGAATAGATCAATCATTATGTAAGGCACTTAAAGATGCCCCTCTCAAAGGTAATTGCTATCCATCATCCTTCTGGTACATGTATATGTGGTTTCACTGGTTTGAAATTCTTAGACACAAAATTCTGCATTTTTTTTCCTGCTCATCCATATGTCAATTCTAGCCATTCTGAATCCTGTAATAATGTACAGGTTTTAGCTTTTCCAACCATACTAGAAAAAGAGTCAATGGAACATTCAGTTCATTTTCATTTTCTGTTTATGCGATTGTTTCACCATGGATTATATTGCGCTTACTTTTGAAAAATCCAATGAAGTGGGTAAATTCAATTTGCTGTGGTATCGATATGAAAAATGAGTATTAAACTGGTATTCTGCCTGGTACACTCTTTCAATTCATTTGGTAACCATTTGATTGCAAGCTAAAGTAAGAAATCATGATTTTTGCAAATTTTTGTAAGAAGGGCTGGCCAAATATGAATCAGGATTCAATGAGAATTGGAAAGTGCTATTATGTCTACTCTCCTCTCTTGTTACATTTTTTTTCTTCCTTCTTTTTTCCTATTGTTTTATTGTGACTGTCATACAGATTAATAGAGCAGATAAATGACTGTGTTTCTTTTTCTTCTCACAAATGGAATAGATTTGTTGATTAATCCTAATGTATTATAGTGATTGTCATACAAATTAATAGAGTACATAAATGAATGGGTTTTTTTCTTGTCACAAATGGAATATATTTGTTAATTGATCCTATTATTTTATTGTGATAGTCGTACAAATTAATAGAGCAGATAAATGACTGTTTGTTTATTCTCACAAATGGATTAAATTTTCAAGTTATGCAATTCCAAAATACAAATCTTGAATGCTGAAAGAGCATTGAATAAAATTGATGGGTAGAATTACAACACACACACAAGAGGCAGAGAGTGATAAGATAATCGGAGAGGAGCTCTCAATGTCAAATGTTTACACAAAATCACATATCTGGAAAGCTTAGCTATTAAAATTGATGGTTATCACATGGTGGAATGGGGGCTCTTCTATAAATACACCAGCCGCAATCAGAGGACCGAGTGCTTCAGACGTCATACTATGCTATTCCCAGCTCCAATGTGCATTCAGACGTGCAGTAAATTTGTTATCAGGCTTCCCAACATCGACATCGTTCAGACTAACTTTCATCATATCGCTACACCAAAACCATACAGATACTGTACTGTATGCGATAAGTGATTTCTTTTTCTAGCCTGATCGTTGTATGATGATATATCATATAGCAGAACACATGTCTGAGCATCATTTAGTAAGAAAATACAGACCCAGGTCCCCTTCTACCGTAAACGTCATATCATACCCAAAAAACGTCTATAACTGGCTGGGGCTTATGTAGAGAGCACTTTGATGATTGGTCAGCTGTCTACTCAACTGACTGCTTACAAGCCAATCTCAACACACTTTTTTGTATTATTATGATACCCTTTCCTATGTGTGTATGCAACTTCTGCTATAATTATAATGTTTATTTGTAAGTTTTTTTCCTATAATTTTTCATGTGTGTATGCCCCTTCTGCTATAATTATGACGTTTCTTTGTATTTTCTTCCTATAACTTTCCACACATGTATGCCACTTCTGCTATAATTATGACGTTTCTTTGAACGTATTTTCCTATAACTTTCCACACGTGTATGCCACTTCTGCTATAATTATGACGTTTCTTTGAACGTATTTTCCTATAACTTTCCACACGTGTATGCCACTTCTGCTATGATTATGACGTTTCTTTGAACGTATTTTCCTATGATTTTCCTCCGGTCTGAACTGGCCTACGAGTATCACTGCCAAGTCTTGTTTTGATTGCAGTATTCTCTGTAATGTGATAATAGAAGAGCAAATAATGTCCTCTGTCCTTAAGGAAAGAAGCCTGGGGGCTTTGCCTGCCAAAATAGGACAGGCTTGGGGTACATCATTGTTAAGTTTCTTGAGAGGGCAGGGGGGGACGTGCTTCTAATCTATTAACATTTGCCATTCAGTAGAGGCTGGAATGTCTTTGTGACTTGGATTCAAAGGTTCAGTAAATAAGTAATAACTTTAAGAAAATTCATTCATTTTCTTCTTTTTTTTTCTTCTCTTATTTTGGAGATGGGGGGGGGGGGGTATGTGAGTTCCAATCTTAAACATTTTCCATTTCAGCAAAGTTTAAATGATAGTAACTAGGATTCAAAGGTTTAGTTAGAGATGTTAGATAATGTTTCTGACATCCTAATTCTAAATTTTGAAATGAAATCAAGGAGATTCTTCAGATTAGTCATGAATTAGTTAGCATTGTTGCAATGTATTGTGCTCATCTAAAAAAACAAAATTTGGAAATACCGATATGCAAATGCTCCACAGTAGTCTTGATTAAGCTATTGATGTACATTACATTCTAATGTTGATGATGAAATGCTAACAATGTTGACCATTGTGACCTATTTCTTGTGAATCACAGGGTCCTATTCTGAAGAAAGATAATGTTTTGTATTCATAATGAAGTGACTATGTGATTGGTCGTGTACTGTGCCACATCAGTTTCATGTGTTAATACTGCCATGTGCTTGTAGATCCTGACCAGTTTGAAATTCATGTGGACTATTAAGAGTGGAACATTGACTTATTGAAGTGAAGTGCGTTTTGAGATTGTCTGAAATTTGTTTTGAAGTGTTGATCGTGTAGGGAAAATAGGAATTCTCATGTACATGAATGCTAAGAGTGAGTAAACACTGGTTTCACGAAACCAACGACATAATAAAAGTATGACTTTGTCTTATTGTAAACCATTTATTGTGAAACATTACACAGATATGTACACATGACATTGTACTTTCCTTCAAACTGCTGTAATATTTTGTTCCCAATCATCAAATATAAGACAGTTATCAGAATGATTAATTTCATAATGGCTTAAAAGAAAAAAATTGTCAGTGAAGTATAGGAAACAGAAATACTGTAAATGACTTTTTTGTGTTGTGAAATTTGTGTGTATCAAAGAGTTCTGTGCCTAAAATGCTGTGACAAGGGTATTCATTTTTTTATTCCTTTGTTTTTTTTCTCTATTTTTCGATGTATGTGTATGATTACATTCTTAATAATAATATATAGTAGGAAGATATAGGAAATATCACGTTAATGCTCATTTTTGTACTGCCTTTTATTTTATTTTGCATATTGCTGGTAAGCTTTGGATTTATCGAATAACGAAGGAATGTGTGTGTAAATATCCAGCTGTATATATTTCCTAATAAATGATTATCAGCAATTGGTGTAATATTTATAATGCAATGATTGTTTTTATTGTCTTTATACCGCATTTCACCTCTATATATTGTTGGGTTTGTGTGCGTGTGTGTGTGTGTTTTAACACTGTCATAGGTAATCGTCATATGACGTGACAGGAACATTTTCAAAGTCGTCAGACTATCATGACGTCAT